TGCTAATATAGTTTTATCAAATATTAATTAATTAAATTTAATTCATTCATTTTAGTTCTTTTTTTTTAGATTTAAGTTGCATGTATCTACCCGTAGAGGGCGCCAGATAAACTTAAAAAAAATGAATGAAAATTATTCATAAAGGACTTTCTGCGATAAGAGTGAAAAAAAGTAGGAATTGACTTTTTTTTTTACATTACTTGTTTTCTAATTTATGAACAAATTCTTGATGTCTTATGTAGAAGGATTTTGTCGTTTTTAGATAGGCAGTCAAATATTTGTTAAAGCTCTAGTTTTGTCGTAGTTTTAAAAATTTGATTAACTTTTCACTTAATAATAATTTAAACAAGGGTACAACCCATGGCCTTGAATATATTTCCGGCCCGTGAGATGTATCATACTTTAACAAATGTATTTTTTTTATCAAGGCCAAAGGAGTGGAAAAACTGTGTCAGAAAAATACAATATGTGTGCATCCCTGTATTCAAAAATGAACTGCCGAAAGGATGAGAAAAAATGAACTTTAATTTTAAAATAGTATTCTTGGGCAGGGCAGATATCGTCCTCTTTATTGATGAGTTTGCACTTATGAGTTCACAGAATTATTAAATAATATTCTGCGAACTCATGAGCCGCTCATCTTGAAACATCTCATATAACAGCTTCTATATTTCAATTTAAAGGGCCTGAATGGCCGAGTGGCTGGCGCACGGTACCACAGGTTTCGGGTTCGAGTCCCGGCGATGCCATGGATATTTGTAGTGGTTCGGAATTCACTTTAAACCGTAGGTCCCGGTCTAATAGGATCGTCGGGCGTTGCGGGGGGGCATTGTTATTCTGCGTCCGTATCTTCAAGTTACACGCTTCCTGGGTAATGCAAAGTGAGTAACGTCTGTGCAGCGCTTGCCTTAAGGCCTCCAAGACCAAGTTGTCTAAGTGTTTGCCAGCTGCATTGCAACAAAAAAAATATTTCACTTTTAGTGACCTCAGTGACTATCCCTAGATAGTGCATTGTTGATAACAGAACAAACCAGATTCTTAGTCCAAGTTGTTAGTGCTTTTGGCATCGTATCTTTGTTTACATGTAAGAATATTAGTAAACGCAATAATAATAACACCTTATGCTTCAATTTTCCCCGCAAGATCATTTGAGTTGGCCACCCTTGTGTTAAATCATTATAAGTAATAATACTTTTAAAAGTTATTTTAAAAGAGTTTAACAATTAAAATAAATTTTTGAAAACTTTCACCACACTAGATTGGAAAACATTCAAAACCCAAGCAAGAATCAAATGAATCTCTAAATGAGTAGAATACCTGTAAATGAATATCTGAAGCGAATATAAAAAAAAAATGTATAGAAAGGAATGTCTATGAATCATGTAGAAATGAATACATAAGTCTGCACATTCATCATACGAATATCTGTTATAAGTTTTAGAAAAAAAGATTTGCCGTTGCCTTTTCTGTTTACTTCAAAAAAATTAAAATCAACTGAACCCATCCAAACTATGTGACAAGCATTTATTTTATGTTTAGTTACATATGGGTAGGGATTGCAATACCGGTATACCAAATACCGGTATTTTGAGCCGTTTGTACAATTTTTTGTAATACCGGTATTCACAAGTTTAAATACCGGTTTTTCGGTATTTTCAAGAAATTCAGAATTCTTATCTGAAAATTAGAAATTATGATGACACTCATGTCGATAGTGAAAAGGAATTGTCACTTGAACAAAAATTAGAATTGGCGATAACTAAAAAAATGTCAGCAAACCAAAATACAAAACAGAAATCAGCTATATCCAAAGCAATCTGACGAGAAATAGATTTATTTGAAGAGGAGGGATTTAGAGGGAAATACTTGGAAAAAGTATGTCGCGCTTTGTTAACAGTATCACCCACTAGCGTAAATGCTGAAAGAGCTTTTTTGACAGCTGGTCATTTTTGCACAAAATTACGTTCCAGGCTTAATGATAGTACAATTGATGCATTATGTTTTTTAAGATCACATTTCAAAAATTAGTAATAGTACCACAGACTGAATAGTGATATTTACACTTTTTGTGATATAAATAAATAAGATGTTCCTTTTTACTTTTTGTGATTCTTTATGTACTCTTATAATTCATAAGTTACGAATTTTTTTTATGATATTTACATTCTCTAACAAAACTGGCAAATAAAAAACAAAGAAACACCTGTGTTTTCTTTCTTTTTCTAAAATTTCTACTACGGTATTAAAACCGGTATCCCGGTATTAAGATCTAAAAATACCGAATACCGGTATAAAGCTTTTGGTCCGGTAATGCAATCCCTACATATGGGTAAACATCCAAAAGTTAATTACTAAAATAAGTGGGATATTCAACCGCACTGAGTTAATCCTAGCCACTACTGGGGAGGTGCAAAGAAGCATTGTATCTGTAATAGACGTTGCCAGATTTACGAAAGAACCAGTTAGACACTTCAATTTTTACTTTTATAAATACAACGTGCATTGCATCTACTCTAAGATGAGAAGTTTTTTTTTTTGTTCCAACGCAGCTGGCAACCACTCAGACAATTGTTTTTGATGGCGTAAGGCAAGCGCTGCACAAACTTTACTCACTTAGCACTACACAGGAGTAGCGTGCAGCTTGAAGATAAGCCACGGACGCGGAGTACCAATACCCCGCAACGCTCTACGACCATGTTAGACCGGGACCTACGGTTTAAAGTGGATTCCGAACCACTACAAACATCCATGGCACCCCGGGACTCGAACACCCGCAACCTGTGGTACCGAGCGCCAGAGCACTTGCCACTCTGCCAACAGTTCCTTACACATTTGTTGTGATTGAAAATTTTAAAAAGCATTTAATTGCTAATAATATAGAAATGTGCAGTACAATTTAACTCGAATAATAGTAAAAAAAGAAAAAAAATCCATTCCGTTAACACAATTACACTCCATGAGAATTAAGAGTGTTTTTTGTTTGTTTGTTTTTTTTTCTAATGCAGCTGGCAATTTCCATTACCCAGGGGACGCGTGTAACTTGAAGATAAGCCAAGGACGCGGAGTAACATGCCCCCACAACGCTCTATGAACCTATTAGACCGGGACCTACGGCTTAAAGTGGATTCCGAAATACTACAAAACATCCATAGCACCGCCGGGTTTCGAACCCGAAACCTGTGTACCGAGCGCCAGAGCGCTAGCCACTCGGCCATTCAAGGTCGAATTGAGTGTGTCATGCGAATTATTTCAGTTGAAGATTCAGTTCAGTACCCTATTGAATTTAATGAATAAATATGAAGGCATTTCAATAAAATATCGCCCTTCTTATTGTAGATTATTACGGAGATCCTTGGCCGCGTAGCTCCTTCTTTGTAAGACGTTGAAACATAGCGGTGGTCTCATGCCCTTTGAGTTAATGAACAAAATAGATAATTAAATGCCCCCTTTTTTTTAAAAGAGAATTATTTATTTAATAAAATGAAAAATATCAAAAATTTCAAAAATGTAGATGTTGATGAAATCAGTTGAATGTCATAAAACAGAATGAGCAAAGGTCAAATAAAATATCGCCCTGTAATGAATGAAACGTGGGAAGAGCCGCAAATATGCCCCCCTCCACCCTTAAGGGAACAAAGTTTTCTTGCGAAGGGCATTGTGTTGCCGGGCAATCGTCTGACGATCGATCGTTTGTCCTTCTATAAATAAACGTGACAATCTCCGGGACGCAAATAATCATGTCAGAGGATTTCGTTTGCTCGCGAATATTCTTTGATTAAAGGGTTTTTATATAAAGAGACAAGTAATGCAAGCGTCTCAAACTGCACAACACATGGATGGTGTTTCTTACCATAGATTAGGGTTGCTTTTTTTTTTTTTTTTTTTATCAATTCCTTATATTAGCTCACACTCTCCCTATATATATCTCGTTCACATTTTCAATCCTTCATAAAACACTTTTTATTCCTCCACTCAAGTTCAAATACATTTTTTTTTTAACTTGCAGTGGAGGACACTGGATGTGAACACAGTTTTTTCAAATATTAATTCATTCATTAAATTTAATTCATTAATTTTATTTTTTTAGATTTAAGTTGCCTGTATCTACCCATATACGGCGACAGATAAACTTAAAAAAAATGAATGAAAATTATTCATAAAGAACTTTCTGCAATAGAGTGAAAAAAAAGAAGGAATTGACTTTAAATTTTTTTTTTTTTATTATATTACTTGTTTAATATTCACTCTTCCATGCGATTAAAGCTTTGATTCTTCTTGACACGCTTGCTGATACTTGATTAAAACACTTTCATCTGATGATGATTTCATACGTAAACACATTCATTGCAAGAAACATATTTTAATAACTTTGTCCACACAGTTATGTCCATTATAGTGAAAGTTTCATAGCTTTCAATTGGCGACAATTTACAAGTAAAATTATAATCTGCAGACTCATCCGTTGATTTTTTTAGATGATGCTAAGGATTGCAATACCGGTATACCGGGATACCGAATACAGGTATTTTGAGCCATTTGTAAAATTTTGTAATACCGGTATTCACAAGTTTGAAGTGAAGATACAAACACCGGTCAAGATACAAACTTAAGCGCAGTTTCTAAGCCCAAACCATCAGGAATTTTAGATTTTTTTTGAAAAAAAAAGGATAATTTGGATAAAGTTATAAGTAAAATGACAGAATTAGATGGTTTGCCATTTCGAGTGTTGTTTTTTGTGATATTTACATTCTCTAATGTTGTCGTGTCCCTCACGGAAGGAGGGGAGCGGGGGTACAGCTTCAGTTGTGATGGAGCACCCGTAGGTAGAAGTCTGACTTCTGCTCCTTAACGCTCTTACAGTCATAAAAGACCGGGACCTACGGCTTAAAGTGGATTTCGAATCACTCCAAACATCCATGGCACCGCCGCGATTCGAACCCGAAACCTGTGGCACCGAGCGCTATACACTCGGCCATTTAGGTCCCAAATTTGTGAATGCCAACGGCACGCGGTGTTCCTAGGTGGTCATACACCCAAGTACTGACCGCGCCCAATGATGCTTGACTTCGGTGATCTAACGAGAACCGGCAAATAAAAATAAATATAAATAAGCAAATATAATTGTCTAATAAATCTGGCAAATAAAACAAAAAAACTTTCTTTTTCTAAAATTTCTACTACCGGTATTAAAACCTCTATTGAGATTTAAAAATACCGAATACTGGTATTGAACTTTTGGTCCGATATTGCAATCCCTAGATGATGCCCACCAGCTGATTTTCGTTTTTAAGCTACATGTGCAGCTGCGGATGTCCTTTTGTGTACCGGGACGCTTTCCATATTTTGCATTGAGAAATATCTATTATAAAATGAATAAAAAAAAACAAATAAGTAAAAAGTTAATATTAGAGAGTTTTTGCATACCGTATTTTGGATGTCCGTTAGCTTTTCCCCCTAGCGCGCATGCTCATAGGAAACATTATTACAGATACGCATGCGCAATTTCCTATGAGCATGCGCTAGGGGGAAAAGCTAACGGACGTCCAAAATACGGTATGAAAATAAAAATCTATTAATAAAAATTTAGGTTTAAACATACTGTACCCCTGAGGAAGTCGCCAACCTTGCAACACGAAATATTTCGCCAATGTTCCGCCAATTTCTGTAGGGTTACAATACTGCAATTAAAGAAATTCGAAATTCTTCTTTTTCGAACAATTTAATGATAATTTTAGTGATATTTTAAGGTAAGTAAGTATTATTTGCAGAATTTTTATTTATAGTAAATTAGAACAGAAATATACATTCTTTTAAATAATTATTCCCATAAATTATCGATTATTCCGAGATTGTACTCTTATTCTCTTATTGTAGATTATTATGGAGATCCTTGGCCGCGTAGCTCCTTCTTTGTAAGGTGTTGCAACATAGCGGTGGTCCCATGCCCTTTGAGTTAATAAGCAAAATAGATAATTAAATGCCCTTTTTTTTAAAAGAGAATTATTTATTTCATAAAATTATAAAATGAAAAATATCAAACATTTCAAAAATGTAGATGTTAATGAAATCAAGTTGCATGTAATAACCCAGAATGAGCAAAGATCAAATTAGGAGAAAAATAGCTTAGTAGAAAAGCGAACTTTTTTTCATCTAGGCAGTTAAAGGAATGAATTTAAAATATTAAGAACAGTGCGAGGTCTTTTGCTATGTTTGCGGGAAGAAATATCATAATCGTCATTTTGTAGAATATTTAATACGGGGTTATGGATGTTTCGCATATCATTATAGAATTGAGTAGAATTTTTGTCTTAAACTTGGAATCGAGAGAGCTCGTCTAATTACGAAAGTACCGGGGTGAATTCGTTGACATTTCGAGAGTTTTGTTCTCAAGCGTTTGAATAATTTCAAAATGTGTACGTGCGACAGAACCCCAAACTGGGCTTGCATAAGCTAATACTGGACGAAGCTTATAACGTATATCGACTACTGATACAGAATATAAACAATTTTTATGATGTTGCCACTCATGAGAATACGAAACAATCAACAAAAACGATTTTTTTTTACATTAATAACTTATATTTGATTATGAAATAATTATGTTCTTTTTAATGCCGTTTGACATAGTTAAGATTTTGTGGAAACCATTATTTAATTCGCACTGAAAATGTTACTTTTTATTTTTAGAACGTTAGTTCACTGCGAAAACGTCGATCGAAAGCATTCAATTATTCTGTTTTGTGATATTTCATTTTAATGCTGTTGATATACTTAAAATTTTGTGGCAACCGTTATTTTTAATTCGCACGGAAAAATGTAATATTTTAAGTTTAGAACGTTAGTTCAAAAAAAAAAAGAGCTGCTGAAATTTTTCTGTGATTTTTTTGATGTTGTTTTTTCATTTAATGCCTGTGCAAGGATAGATTTTGGGGATGCAATAAAAAAGATCATTCTTGCCTCCAACAAAGGATATTTCAGAATAAAATGTAAGTTATTGTCTGATATTTTTTTATTAATATTACTTTATCATATGAATTCGGAACCACCGCAATATTTTTTGGCATAATAGAATTAAAAAATGGCGTATTAGTGAATAATTTTGTCGTAATGGCGATTATTATCATTGTTAGAAGGATGCATTTTTATGATCTTTCAATATTAAAGCCATAGAAACTTGGAAAAAATCGGGTTTCTTAATAAATTAACAATTTTAGAATGATAATGTATCGGCTTTTAAAAATGTTATTTGCTCCAACAGAACTATTGTTTGTGATTGGATACAATGTCACATAAAATAACATCAATTTAATTTAAAAAAAAAAAAAACGTTTCTGTAGATTTACGATTATGTTTTTAAGTTTTCTAATAAGGACATTTTTTATAAGGTAATCGAATTCAACATTAATCGAATAACTGTGTTTTGCCAAAAGGTAATCGAATTCAACATTAATCGAATAACTGTGTTTTGCCAAAAGGTAATCGAAATCAATATTAATCGAATAACTGTGTTTTGCCAAAAGGTAATCGAATTCAATATTAATCGAATATTTGTGTTTTGCAAAAAAGTAATCGAATTCAATATTATTCGAACAATTGTGTTTTGCAAAAAATAATCGAAAAAAAAAGTAATCGAATTCAATATTATTCGAACAATTGTGTTTAGCAAAAAAAGTAATCGAATTCAATATTATTCGAACAATTGTGTTTTTAGCAATGTTATTCGAACAAAAAAAAAAGTAATCGAATTCAATATTATTCGAACAATTGCGTTTTGCAAACGGTATGGCATCTAAAAAAAAGGTTCCAAAAGTGTATTAATAGAGGGTACGTAAGTTGCATAAAGAAAGTGAATTCGGCTGCCAGTGATAGTTTGAATCGACATGACAACGTATTCGGCATGAGTTGCACTTTCCACCCACTGTAGTGTTCAAAGTGCTGGATTGTTTCGGTTTTTGGACTTCCAAGGCATTCAACAGGTGTGGCACTGTGAGTGGAAAGCCCATCCACCACGACAAGGTCCTACACAATTCGATGGGAAAACTAGGTGTAACTTTTTTTTTTTGGTGTCGTACTGTTTTCCCTTTCTTCAAGTGTCTTCGATTCAAATGTGAACTCATTGTAATGAGTGGTTCTTTTCTTCACAGCATTTTGAAAGTGGGACTTTAATTACAATCACTCTGTATATTACGTTCATATTCATCTATAACAAGGGATACATGTCTGTGTTACATAATTTTAGCTGTATTAAGTCGCCAACAAACCAGCCAGTTTCTGAGACTCACTGTTGAAGGCTAGTTCCATCCATCCACATATTTTTTTTTAATGTTGTCATATAAATTTATCATTTTTTGTCTTTTTTATTGTTTTTTTTATAATATTGTCATTATCAGTGGCGCAAAAGCCTCATGGTGGGCATGGCAATCTGCCTGCAGGCAGATTTCGAAACAGATGTTTCTTTTACGGAGTAGGGTTGTCAGACCTACCGCCAACGCTCTACAGTCATAATAGACCTTGACCTACGGCTTAAAGTGGATTCCGAACAACTACAAACTTTCATGGCACCGACGGGACTTGAAACCTGTGGTACCGAGCGCCAAAGCGCTAGTTACTCGGCTATCATAATTATATGAAATTACAATAGGGAATAATAATAGGAATTATATTAGAAATTAAAATTATAATAGGGAATTATTATAGGGACGGCCATTTAAATTATTATAGAGAAAAAAACGAAATAAAAATTAATTAGCTAAATGAAAAATTAATGAAAGAACAATTTTTTTATTAATGGGGAATATAAAATAAATAAATAAAATAAAATAAAATAAAAAAAAACTTAATGGAATTACAAGATATTACTATGCATTCATCATACTGTCAAATTTAAAAAAAAAAGTACTCGAATAGTTTTTACTCCAATACACATTTCGAATAACTCCAGTACACATTTTTTTTCTCTCTGTGGAAATTCATTCAGACATATTTTTTCATAACGAAAAACAAAATTTCCAGAGAGGCCAGATTATCTAGAACAATTCTCAGCGCCCTCTATCTCACCGCGATGAAGACATTTTTACGCGTTCATTAACGAAATTAATTAGATAAAAAGAGTTAATTAAGCAAAACTAAATGGGGAAAAATTGTTCTGACAGCTTTATGTGGGTTGTTTGGAAGTTTCTCTAACTGAATCATCTTTTTTTCTTGACACTTATTTAAAAAAAGAGAACTGTTTTTCCACCTTCTAGGTATGCAATCTTTATTGTTTATGCGAAGTTCATTATTTTCTTCATAAACACTTGCACCGCATGGGTGTAGCTACTCATGACTACTTTAGCTACTCATGTGCTCGTCGAGTGAAGTCGTGAACTTTTTACATGTGACAACATGTACTGCACCTGATTTTATGACTTTTAATTCTGACTACTTTACCGAGGCTAAATCTTATTGGGCAGCTAGATTTCTTATGGCGGATATCGCTGCAGGTTGATGTAGGAAAAAAATGTTTATGCGAAGTATTCTCCCCAGAATAGCAGATAGAAATTAGATTTGTAACAATTGATTAAATTTTTAAAAATAAAATGTTAAAATACATTCTAGTTTTCCTATTTTAAGCAAATTTCTTACTTTCTAATAAAAGTGGAATTTTCTTTTTTCCATTAAAATAATTTCTAAGAAACACAATTCCTCAGCAAATTCCAGTCATCATCGAGGTAAAAACGAAACATCAAAACTTAAATAACTAGGCATCTATCTCGAATGCAAAACAGATATCAATTCTCATACGCGATTGCAATGAAAATGCATTCAAAATACTTTTTCGTCCCCACATCATCATTATCAGTGGCGCAACAGCCCCATAGTCTGCTCAATGGCAGATTTCGACGCAGAAGATGTCTCCTTTCTACGGGGTTAAGGTGGTCAGTCCAATTAGATCTACGCCCAACAGTCAATTAGACCTACGCCCAACAGTCCTATTAGACCTACGCCCAACAGGACGGGACCTATAGTTTAAAGTAGATTCCAAACCACTCCATCCATGGCATCGCCGGGGCTCGTATCCGAAACCTGGAGTACCGAGCACCAGAGCGAT